GGGGGGGGGAGGGAAATGTACGGGGGTAGGTAAGTTTACCATCTGCGAACGCCCCAGGTACAACTGAAATACGGCGCGGATACTGATTGGCTAATTTTCCTAGACACTAACCACATGGCATATGCACCTCTGTCCTCAGAAGCGCATTAGGCTTCTTCAAGAGTTATGCAAAACGGATAACAATTTCCAGACCTTGCCCATCACCAAACTGAGGAGATCAATAATCCCTTCCATCAACAATGGCAAGCCCAGATCAAACACTCAGGGTCCCAAGTGCTCTCTCTCTCTCTCTCTCTCTCTCTCTCTCTCTCTCTCTCTCTCTCTCTCTCTCTCTCTCTCACACACATACACACACACACACACACACGCGCGCGCGCGTATCCCTTCGTGGCCCCCTCCTTGATTTCGAGGCTCCCCTATGACTGTGGAGAGGCTCTATCCATCACGTCCGAAGTGTCGGAGTACATGAACCAGGAAAGCGGATACAGAAAGAAAGGTAAGGATAAGAGAATGAAAAAGGAGGAAAGGGCAAAATCAGAGAGCGGAGGACGTAAAACGGAGAAAATTAAATTTGAAGGCCAAACGGACCCGGACCACGAAAATCGAAGAGAGGGTGAGTGAAGAGAGGGTGAGTCGAGAGAGGGTGAGTGAAGAGAGGGTGAGTGGAAAGAGGGTGAGTGAAGAAACGGAGACGAGGGGAGAATTCAATAGATGACAAGGAAAATAGAGGCGACAGGGGAGCTAACCAGGAATACGCGTAGGAATGTCAGAATCAAATGTATGAATGACTACTGCCACCCGCCACTGTTCTGAGGTGTTAGGCTGATTAACCAATCGAGGAGCGAAAGGAATCCAAGAATGCTACAACGGATAATAGAAAAGGCTAAAAAAACTCAAAACAGGAACTCTTAGCAAGCAGATATGGAAATAGACACAAGAAAAAAATCCTCACCGTCCGTGGGCAGTGGAAATAAGAACCTTCGACGACGTCAGACCAGGCCATAACTAACAAGTGCATAGCGCCCTGCTTAGATGCCAGTCAGTAAAGTACACAAATGCGTTGCATCTCTCTCTCTCTCTCTCTCTCTCTCTCTCTCTCCCTACCTATCTATCTATCTATCTATCTATTTATCTATAGATATATATACAGCCTCTTGAGTGACAATATATATACAGCCTCTTGATGAGTCGGTGAGACTGAGACAAAACAGTTTGTCGAAGCCCTTCGTTTGTTGTCCTCTTCTCCTCTCTGCCAACGGTTTACCGGACAGCTCTGTTTGACGATATATATCGTCACAAATATATTGTCAGACTGAATCAGAGCGCGAAGGCGAAAGAAAGCAAAACAAGCGAAGGAAAAGAAGTAAGGAAGGAAAGCCCGACCTGTTCATCACCTCTATATATATATGTGTGATATGTATGTGTGATATGTATATATACATATATACATATTATCGAACAGAACTGCCCCGTAAGCCGTAGGCAGAGAGGAGAAGAGGACACCAAACGAGGGCCTGTAACAAATATATATATCGTCACAAAGTTACATACATATATATCGTCACAAATTTATCGAAGCGCAAATGCGAAAAAAAGAAGAAATAAATTCATTTTTTATCTTCCCTACAAAACTCCCCCTGTTCAGAATAACCTACATCCACGTGGGCGGCCTTGTACGCAAGAGGTTCCGAACAGGGGGGAGTTGTAAGAAAGAAGATAAAAAAATGCATTCATTTTTTCTTGGTTTTCTTGCCTTTTGCGCTCTGATATCTTGTGACAATATATACAGAGCACGCGCACACACACACACACACACACACACACACACACACACACACCCCGCGCGCGCGCGCGCACACCCGCGCACGCAGGCACGCACACACAGACACCCCCACACCCACACCCGCGAGCAGGCGTGCGCTCTCGCAAACACGTAGACAGGATAGGCAAATATCCGATCTCGCCGATTGGGAAAATATCAATAATTGGCATCCGAAACAGTGAAGCACCACGGAACTACCTACCTTGTGGCTGAATTGTACGAATGTACGACTGTTGACACACATATCATGAGTTCAATCCCGATGGATAGGGCCTACCCCCTTCAACAAAAAAAGAACCCAAGAAAATAGGAGCCACAGAATCGACCCGTCGCTTCATTGGTCCCTCATGAGCTGAGAGTCTGTAGCCGGTCAGTTCGCCCACTACAAAGTGGGGATGTCATTGAACCTGCGAGGGGGCTGAGTGGAGCGAGAGGTAGATAGGAGATCGTATAGACGACGGTTTCACGCACTTGGTAGTGCAATCAGAGAGAAAGAGTTTAGGGTGCACAAACTGCTACTTACCTCCCACACTTCCACGTGGCGCTCACCATCAACGAATACATGAACGAATACAGGGCAACATTCTCATATTTTCCACCGCTTCCCCACCTCTCCCTCATGAGACAGCAGCGCTGAGAAAAGATGCCCGCTGCATCGGTACAGCGAGGAACGATTTCGCACACAGAGAAAGTGTGTGTGTGGGTGACGGGTGGGGGGGGGTGAGCGGGAGGGGGCCGGGGAGGGAAATTGGCGGGGTCGGGGTGTGTGAGAGAGAGACAGAGAGGAAGAGTGCAGAGAGCGCAGAAAACATGCCACGTGGGGTATCACGAACGAGAGAGGGAGGTACAGTAACACGACCCCTCGATCTGGCATACGTATGACATGGAAAACTGACCTACGCATGAGATGGAAAACTGACCCTCTGCGGGATGCCGCCAATTGCGCTTAGTACCGGCGGATGCCACCACCCACCACCGAGGGTCTGACGCCTCCCTACTACCACCGTGTGCGTCCCTTCCCCGTCCTGGGGCAAGGTCCCATTTGGACGGATTACGAGATTCTAACCGGTGATCTGTGCTCTCTACGGTCAATATGTCTTAATTCCTGGAAGTGGGACCTAGCCCCTGGGCATCCCTTGCTGGGCACTGAATCACCACAGATGCAGTCCTCGAAGCTACGTTTCCCATGCCGCACAGGGGGGAAACCGAGCCGACCACAAAACAAACCGCGGGTAAGGGCCTCCATTTCTTTTTTTGTTTTGTTTTCAAATCAACTTTGCATTTCATTAGAAACCAAAATAAGACGAAGGAGGCCGGGAATCCCCCTCCACAAACAACCCGGAAGAAAAGCAGGTAGCCTCTGGGACCATTACCCAGCTTATGGTGCAGGCTTTGGGAATTATAGTCCAGTAGCAGAAATGGCCTAATCCTGACCGCTGCTGGTTCCCAGAGAGTTGGGGAATGTCAGGGCTGGCAATTATAGTCCAGTGGCAGAGATGGTAGAATCCTGACCGCTGCTCATTCCCAGAGATTTGGGGAATGTCAGGGCTGGGAATTATAGCCCAGTAGCAGAAATGGCCGACTCCTGACCGCTGCTCGTTCCCAGAGAGTTGGGGAATGTCAGGGCCTCCATTTCAGAGATCCTGGAGCTCTGAGGCCCCTTGTTTTTCTCTTTTCTTTTTGGAGGAGATTGTTGAAATGCCCCTGAGAGTTGGAATATTTCGTCAGATACCCCCAAAAGCCATGGGCATGCGGGTAAGGGCCTACATTTCTGAGGTTCTCGAGCTAGGAGGTCCCTTTCTTTTCTTAGGAAAGTATTGAAATGCCCCTGAAAGTTGGCGTATTTTGTCATATACCTCCCAAAGCCATGGGCATGGCGAAATGCCCCTATGACAGTACTGAAACTTGCGAAATACCTTACTACCTTCTCCCCCTGTACATAATGCATATGCGTTGTATTCAAGTTAAGAAAAAGAAAACGCTTTTTCGACAGTTGGTACCTTTTTGTCAAATAGAAGGGCACTTTGAATACAACGCGGTATTCGGAAAAAAATCATACGCGTTCTATTTTTTATTCGAATTTTAAAAATATTCAAATAGAATCCTCTTTTTTTTCTTTCCCTTTCTTTTTGAGGTCAGCGCATATGCTCTCTCTCTCTCTCTCTCTCTCTCTCTCTCTCTCTCTCTCTCTCTCTCTCTCTGTGTGTGTGTGTGTGTGTGCGTGTGTGTGTGTGTGTCTGTGTGTGCGTGACCTGGGACCTCGCTCCACTACTCTCGACATATCCAAACCAGAGGGAATCTTTCGCTAGAACATGGAAAGATACACTGCCATTTTTCTTTTTTTTGTAAGACATGCTCCAATTTATTCGTGGGGAGCAGCACGTGCTGGGAATCGGGCCCAGCGTCCCATATGAAGACATGTAGAAAACAATAATGAACAAATTGAAGTACCCGGGCCATTACTGCCATGATTTTTGTCTTTTGTGCATGTTGAGAATAGTGGAGTGAGGCCTGTGCACTCTTCTTGGTTGTCTCCCGCTGTCTGACAAACGGTGGCCAAGAAAGCGCAGCGGGGCCAACGGGAACCCAGAGGGCAGCCGTAAGCCATGAGGGAAGCGCCTGAGTATGCCAGGGCGTTGTATTTTTCTATGTTCTAGCGGAAGATTCATTCTCATTTTGCACATTTGGTGAGGAGTGGAGGGAGGCCTCAAATGGCAAGAGGGGGATCAATCTTCGGCCAGAACATGGAAAGATACAACACCACATTTTTTGCCAGTGGAAGCAGAACTGAGCCTACTCAGCCTGGACCGGGTCCCCTGCTGTCCGAGAAGTTGCTGCACTGCCCTCCAATACAACGCATTTGTGGATTAAACAAATACAAGAGGATGCCCGACGCCACTGCGGGGGGGACTAAGAGCAGGGGAACAAAAAAAAAAAAAAAAAAAGCTACGCCCACGGCATGCAGCGCGGCCCCATGGAAATCAACTCTCTGAGTATGGTCACCACGGCCACGCCCACGGCAGACGTACTCTTCGCCCACTGCTCCCTCTGCGGTGCCTCCCTGCTGCTGCCCCCCCTTCCCCCCCTCTCTTCTCATCCCGTTCCTCCTCCTCCCGCTGGTCCCTCTCTTGCTCCTCGCGTTGCCCCTCCCCCCGTCCTCACCCTCCCATCCCCCCCCTCCCGCTCATCCTGTTCGTCCCCACCGCCTTTTTCCGACACGGAAAAGCAACAAGCGGGCCGCAGGTGCTGTGCGCGAACTCGCAGCTGTGCTACAGACCCAAAAAAGAAAGTAGTTTTTTCTTTTGTTGAAGTAGTTTTTTTCCCCCTCGATTTGCAAATGTGATCCTTGCGCAGGAGCCATGCTAAACGAATTTTCCCAATGCAGGGCCTGCAAAACGACAAAAAAAAGGAAAACCAGTGCATCTTGCCATTTTCTGCCTGAGGATCCGGTCTCATTTTCGAACATCTGGAGAGCTGCGGAGCGAACGCTTGGTACTAGTGCGCAAAAGACAAAAAAGATGGCAATGTATTTCTCCGCGTTCTAGCAGTGGATTCAGTGTCATTTGCACATTTGGAGAGTAGTGCAGCGAGGCCCTCAGGCCAAAACGAAAACAACGGGCGGAACAAAAGCAAACCCGCAAAACGACAGAAAAAGAAAGAAACGAAACAAACGACAAAACAAACAAAAAGGAAAGAAACCAACAAAAAGAAACTGGCAAAACGACAAAAAAAAAAAGAAACGAAACAAACGAACAAAAGGGAACCTGTGTATCTCCCCATGTTCCAGAGGAGAATTCAGTCTCATACGAACCACTCAACCGGTGTTTTTCCCCACGTCGCGGCACTGCACTGTGTACAACTGCGGCGCTCCCCGTTAGGCCCAAGGCTGCCTGTCCCGCGCCGTTCCCAACACTGGATGCGGGTTCTCACGGGAGCGTGAAAGGGAAAACGCAACGTATATGTTGTATTCATTTACAAGTTACAACACATGTATTATGTTCAGGGGAAGAAGGTAGCCAATTGGATTTGTCATCTTTTGTATATACCATACTGGGTCATGGGCCTGTTTATATGCTTTCGTATTTTTGGCCGTTGGACCCTGCAGATGGGAAAATAAATTCACGCCCCCTGCAGCCCAGGGTCAGGGCATATGGCAAAGTTGCCAATGAGAGGGATGGGGGCAGATGCAAAAGTTTGGGATATTTCAGCGTACTCCTGAGTTTTATGGGTATCTAACGGAATACCCACACTTTTAGGGGTATTGCAACAATATTCCCTTCTTTTTTTTATATGGTATTTGAATTGAGCGGCCCCAGATAAATTCAGAGTTATTTCCAGGCTTTTGATTCCTTTGGGATTCGAGCTCAGCTCTCCATTTGAACAGTTTGTAGGTGCACCAACAGAGTTAGGCCAACTACCGGTAGTCACTCTCTTTTCTTTTTGCCTGGGTGAAAACTCGGAGTTTCATTTCCCCTGTTCCTCGGTGGAGTCCTTGAGTTGGCCTCTGAGAGCGGATATGAAACTTGTACGCAAATATGTGAGAGAGCAGAGAGTTTGGTTGGAAACTTGTAGGAGAGTACAAAAATTGGTCTTCCATTAGGCGACCTGTACGCCAATATGTTTCAAGTCAGCCCATGGCAAGCTCCAAAACAACACATTAATCCTCACAGAGTAAGATGTGCTTCAAGTTTGGGAAGGATATGGGCAGGCTTATCAGCCTTGTGCAGCCAGTTAAGCAAAGGCTTTCCATTTTTATTATTATTATTATTATTATTATTATTATTATTATTATTATTATTATTATTATTATTATTTTTGGGACAAATGCTCCAGTCTATTCGTGGGGACCAGCACGTGCTAGGAACCGGGCCCAGCGTCCCATATAGAAAATATACAAATGATTTGAAGTGCCAAGGCCATTACCTGGCTTCGGCTAAGAACAATCTGAGAACTATGAAAAGAGTTCAGGAAAAATTAAGAAAAACACCGGATAGCTGCTAACCTACCAACCTATTACCAGGCTACTCAAGCAGCAATTAATGGGAGTCCTTCGAAAGCTCAGAACCCCTGGAAGCCCCCCACAAAAACACTCTAAAATTCTCTAATACTGTCTTCTTCCCTGCGGAGCTCTCCCAGGCCTAATGCCCCCACCCTGCTAGGTTACAGGGCAACATGACTCACCCCGGCTCCGGCCAGCGTCGTCCCGACAGCAACCCTTGGTTTTCCCTTGGAATGCCTGGCCCAAAGCATCCCCAGATCTCTCTACCAGGCCTCACGCTCCTGCTATTAACAGGTTACAGGGCAATCCCCCAGCACCGGCCAGCGTCGTTCTGGCATTGAAAAAACAACAGATCCATGAGTAAACAGCATCAAGGAAGCCTAGACTGCTTTGCAGGAAGTATCCAGAGTCCTAAGGAATTCTCAAGACTACCAAAAGTATCAAGAACCATCTCGAAAATGACGAAGAAATTAGGGCCAGATTAAGAATTTTTGACGTGACTACAACAAAAAGTCAGAAATCAACTCAGAGAAACCCCCTTCAAACCTCTTCACCTCACTCCGGCAAGACTAACTGCAGCAAAGCCACCATCTCTGCTGCTGCTGTACCGTAGTCCCATCCTACCAGCTAGCCCCTTCACTAGTAGGACACGTGATATCCCACCATTTCCTTCTCCCACCCACCTTATTCTCTTTTTAAGGTACGTAAGAACACTTTACAGTAAAAAAGAGCATGAGAATAGGCCGCAGGGGTCCTGCAAATGTTCCAAAAAACGTTGAAATCCCTCACAAACCCTTCCAAAGTCCTCCAAAACTGTCATACTCCCTGCCGAGCTCTTCCAGGCCTCACGCCCCC